CCACCACGATCAAGTGGGATTCATCCCATGGATGCAGGGATGGTTCAATATACGCAAATCAGTAAACGTGATACAGCACATCAATAAACGACAAGACAAAAACCACATGATCATCTCAATAGATGCAGAAAAAGCATTTGACAAGGTACAGCATCCATTTATGATCAAAACACTCAGCAAAATGGGAATAAATGGGGCATTCCTCAATGTAATAAAGGCCATATATGAAAAACCTACAGCCAATATCATACTCAACGGGCAAAAACTGAAAGCTTTCCCACTAAGATCGGGAACACGACAAGGATGTCCGCTCTCACCGCTTCTTTTCAACATCGTATGGGAAGTCCTAGCCACAGCAGTCAGACAAGAGAAAGAGATAAAAGGCATCCAAATAGGAAAGGAGGAAGTAAAACTATCATTGTTTGCAGATGACATGATAGTGTACATAGAGAACCCTGTAGAATCTACCAAAAAACTCCTCAACCTAATAAGTGAATTTGGCAAAACAGCAAGATACAAAGTCAACATTCAGAAATCAAAGGCGTTTTTGTACACCAGCAATGCAATAGAAGAAGAAGAAATCAGAAAAAATATACCATTCGATATAGCACAAAAAAAGATAAAGTACCGAGGGATAAATTTAACCAAAGACACAAAAGACCTGTATGCAGAAAACTATACAACGTTGAAAAAAGAAATTAAGGAAGACACAAATAAATGGAAGCATATACCGTGCTCATGGATTGGAAGAATTAATATCATCAAAATGTCCATACAACCCAAAGCAATTTATAGATTCAACGCAATCCCTATTAAGATACCAACGTGTATTTCACAGAAATAGAACAGACATTTCAAAAATTTATATGGAACCATAAAGGACCCCGAATAGCCACAGCAATTTTGAGAAAGAAACACAAAGTAGGAGGGATCACAATACCGGACATCAAACTCTACTACAAAGCCACTATACTCAGAACAGTCTGGTACTGGCACAAGAACAGATCCATAGACCAGTGGAACAGAATAGAAAGTCCAGAAGTAAGCCCAGGTCTGTATGGGCAACTAATATTTTGACAAAGGGGGCAGAAGCATAAAATGGAGCAATAATAGCCTCTTCAACAAATGGTGTTGGGAGAGCTGGACGGCTACAGGCAAAACATTGAAATTGGATCATCGGCTGACACCATACACAAAAATAAACTCAAGATCGATAAAAGACTTAAATATAAGTTGCAACATCATCAAAGTCCTCGAGGAGAACATTGGCAGGAAACTCTCAGATATCCCATGCAGCAATTTTTTCACCCATATGTCTCCTAAAGCAAGGGACATAAAGGAAAGAATAAACAAGTGGGACCTCATCAAAATAAGAATGTCTTGCATGGCTAAAGAAAACATCAGCAAAATGAAAAGGGAGCCAACTGTATGGGAAAACTTATTCGCTAATGATACATCAGCTAGAAGTTTGATCTCCAAGATATATAAAGAACTCACTCGACTCCACTCCAAGAAGACAAACGATCTAATCAAAAAATGGGCAAAGGACCTGGGCAGATGCTTTTCCAAGGAGGAGATACAGAGGGCCCAGAGGCATTTGAAAGGATGCTCAGCATCACTAGCCATCAGAAATGCAGATCAAAACCACCATGAGGTACCACCTCACACTGGTCAGAATGGCCATCATAAACAGACCAACAAACAACAGGTGCTGGGGAGGCTGTGGAGAAAAGCCAACCCTAGTACACTGTTGGTGAGAATGCAGACTGGCGCAGCCATTGTGGAAAGCAGTGTGGAATTTCCTCAAAAAGCTGAATGTGGAACTGCCTTTTGATCCAGTGATTCCCCTGCTGGGACTATACCCTAAGAATCCCAAAACGCCAATTCAAAAGAACCTATGCACCCCAATATTCATAGCAGCACAACTTACAATAGCCAAGGTTGGAAGCAACCTAAATGCCCATCAGTAGATGATTGGATCAAAAACAATGGTACATTTACACAATGGAATACTATGCAGTAGAAAGAAAAATAGAACTGCTACACTTCGCGACAGCATGGATGGAACTCGAGATCATTATGCTAAGCGAAATAAGCCAGGGGGTGAAAGACAAATACCATATGATCTCACCTATAAGTGGAACCTAACCAACAATACAAAAATGCAAGGAAAATAAGGCCAGCAACACTGAAAGGAAAAGAAATGAACATAGACAAGAGGGAATGAGGGAGGGGGGCAGGGGAAAAGGAAGGGAAGGGGAAAGTCAAGGAACCTATAGCAAGGACTCATGGACAAAAGGAAAGGGGAAGAGTTGAGAGAGGTAGGGAGGGCGGGAGGAAGGGAGGGGCAAGGGAAAGTGGTGGATGGTAGGCAGAGAGAAATATATTTGAAATAATAAGTAAGTTAATTTTAAAAAACACAGTTAAAAATAATAATGCAATAAAAATATTAAAAATATAAGAATAAATTTAACTAGAAACATCTTCAAATTATAAGAAAACTTTAAAATCCACCCACAGATTTGAACAAATATAAAGGTGCCATGGGTTGCACTATGTACCTATCCCCCACCAAAATGTATGTATTTAAGTCTTAACCCACTTCCAGAACCTTAGAATGTGAGTTATTTAGAAATAGGGTTATTACAGATGTAATAAGGTAAGATGAGGTCATAGTTGATTCATGTAACCCCTAATCTAATGAGCGATGTTCTTATAAAAATAATAATACATGAAACACAGAAACATAGGAAGAATGCCTTGTGAAGGTAAAGAAAGACTTGAGCTACTGTGTCACAAATAAAAAAATTTCTGGAGCTACCAGAAACTGAAAGGGACAAGGAAGGGTCCTTCCACAGGTTTCAGAGGGAGTATAACCCTCTGACACCTTGATTGAGTATTTTTAGTCTTCAGAACTGGGAGAACAAATTTCTGTTATTTTAAGCCATTCAGTTTGTGGTACTTTGTTATGGAAACACTATAAAACTAAGGTAAAATGTATATCACATTCTTGGAAATGAACATACAACAGCAAAGATGACAATTATCACAGGATAACTTAATAACTTAAAGTGGTTTCAATAAGAATGTTTGAAAATACAATTATGTCATAGCTCAAAGGAGAATGATGCTAGGGTTTCCCAGTGTAATAGGACAGTAAAAAACTAGGATAATTCCTGGCAATTGGAATAGGGAAACTGAGACAAGGAAATTAAACAAGGCCAAACAGTTTGAGCAACTTACAGCCAGCTGGTGAATCACACAACCTTATCTCCCCTAACCAAGGACACCTGAGAGTAAATGGTTTCTACCTCTCCTCCCTAACCAATAAATATATATCTTAAATCTGGTCTGGGAAAATAGACAACTGAAACCCAATTAATGTCATTTGTGCCAGCTAAATAACAAAAAACCCATTAAAAGCCAGACAGGCCCAAGATAAAAGAAAAACAAGATAGGAGACCAAAGAATAATTCCAAACTCCCCATATGTTCATTTTGACACATCAGCACATTAAAAACGCACCTGGAAAGCCGATAAATATTCCATCAAAATGCTTCCCTAAGATACTTCACCACAGGAAAAAAAAGGATGTAAAGCTCTTAGGACAAAGACTCAGTGCAGGCTCTCTCTAGGGTATCCCATGCCCCTTCCCGGGCATGAATTTTTTCCTTTTTCCTAAACACTAAGGGACCCCAAGGGACTTGAAGTCAGGGGAGCAAAAGGCAGTGGCAGCTTGACCTAGGCTTACCCCATGATTCTGTCTCCAAGGTCCCCTTTTTCTCTGACTTCCAAGTGAGCTAAAAGCAGCCCTGCCTTGGCTAACTTCTCCGTGTCTCCGTGACCGTCTAATTTCTAACAATGCTAAGAATGCTGTTTCTAATTTCATAGGTAATTTCAGTTTTGGGAAAAGTCAGAAGCCACAGGGCACAAAATCTGGGCTGTAGGGGAGTTGAGTCACCTGGCTGATTTGATGTTTCACCAAAAAACTGCACGAAACATGAGCACAAGTGGACATGTTGTCATGATGAAGCTGCCCATCACCAGCTGCCCATTAGCTGCGGCCTTCTGAATCATCCCATAGTTTCCGCAGAGGAATGTTCAAGCTTAATGCAAAATCTGATGCAGATTCATTGTTCTACTTGCTCAGTCATTTTGAATATGATAGCCACACAATAAATGTGCTCACTCAACAGCATCTACTGCCCCCACTGACTAGTACAGTGAAGTTGTCATTGTTCACACATGCACATTCCAGTCCCTTCTCCTTGGCTGCCATGTTACAATGATGTTGTGCAAACCATTCTTGTTATATTAACAATGCTGGACTTTTCCTGGACAGACCTCGTATGTGTATGCACATATCACACATATACACACAGAAACATGAGCATATGTATACAAGATAAATGTAACAGATAATGTGAGCAAACTGAAAAGTACCACTGTCTTTAAAACTTTTCTTGAAGTAAAATGTAGCCATTATTGAAGTATGAGAGCAAAAGCTAACAATACAGTGCGTTCAATTATGTGTACAAAATATGATGTGAAAGCATTTACAATGGAAGGAAAAAAAGAAATTAGAAACTAAAGGACTATAATTATAACAGGTTTATTTGAACAACTGTAATTCCATGAATATCTGAACATAAAAAGAAAGGATCATATCTAAAAAGGTGGGCAGACACACTGAAGATGTCAAAAACAAAATGATTACCAATTTAAACCTGGAAATGAGTCAAGAAATATTGATATCTAACATCCAGGTAAAAAAGGCTAACTGCTCTTTCAAGTTTCTTGAAAATAACTTCTGAGGAAAGAAGAATCTTACCTAGAAATGATACCTTAAGTTCTTTTAAAAATTCACACTTATTGTCACTATAGAAGTCTAGCCTTTAGGAAAATATCTTTGAAGAACATTTTAGAAGAATCAACTATTCACATATTAATTATTATACGGTCCTGTCTCCTCCTCTCTTACCTGGTTACTTCCCACTAACCTGGGCAGTGTCTCCTTAACATTTCTTCCTCCACAACCCATGGTTCTTCTTGCTCCAACTTTAAAATCGCATAAGGTTTGGTGAATGGACAGCCTGTCAAAGGGAAATGACATTATTTAGGCATAAATACTAGAACAAAGAATTACTCAAGAATTTACGCTGGCCCAAGGAAACAAGGTTTTCTGAAGGACAAGAAGTGTGGTTTCTGGGGATGCTACTCCCTCCCTGAATCATAACCAAAAAGGACCTTCTGTTTTGAAAGCTGCAGCATGCATATTCACATGAGTAGAGGCATCTAAAGGCCAAATTCACTTTAATACTTAAAGGTTCCACACACTTCAGAAAACTGGGAGGAAAAAGCAAATTTATTCCAAGAATTTGGGTTATATAGTAAACTATCCTTACCTACTGTGATTAAGTTGTTATAGTTTTCTAGCATCACATTCCAGTACAGGTTCCTTTGAGCAGAATCCAATTGCTGCCACTCTTCTTGAGTGAAGGCAATAGCGACATCTTTGAATGTCACTGTTCCCTGTAACAACACACTCTTACTTAGTCTGAATTCATCCATCTTAGATGATGTGGAGAAAAAAAAACATACTGAACTGTGCTCTCATGGTATGCACAGGTTAGAGGCTATAAAAATTTACCTGCTTTTTTTTTAATTTCTAAAAGAAAAACATCACATTAGCATTCTATCAGGTTATGTTCATGCATTGAATTAGCAAGCACATATCTTTAACAATCACCATGGGTTAAAGAGGTCTTGGGCGCCAATTTATATTGAATGTAGAAGATGGGACAATATAAAACTTTAACTCAAGTTAACTGGTTTGGGAATTCTCTAGATGCCTGTGATTCACTGAGGCAGGGAAAAATGCAATCAGGGTTTGGATGGAACAGAAGCAGGGAGAGAAGGGAATGCAAAATTTGTGGTATGGTAGAACATCCAACTGAGATAGAATACAAGGCCTTCACAACTACCTTGGAGACTATGACAAACACCTTGTCAGCCACAGTGGAATATTAATAATGTATTAATAGAACCTAGGGCCAAGAAGGGAAGATGTGAGAATAAAAATCTCTCTGCTAAATTCTAATAACAGAACCCAGGGCCAAGAGAGGAGGATGTGCAACTGCAGGCATCCTGTGTTCAACATTCCCATAGAGAAGGGATATAGAACAAACACCTGCTGAGCAAAATTTAGCTGAAATCAAGCTATCATATATTACTGGGTGTCAAATAAAGACAAAGAACCTTTTTCTTAGACTTTATAGGCTAAGAGAAACTCAAAACCCAGCAGAATCCAGCAAGCCTATAAAACCTCTTTTTCTCTCACTTTGGCATGACTTTCTGGTTCTAACATCCAGAGTTTCTGCCCTCTGCAGAACTGAAATAAATCTTACTTTCATTATTGGTGTCCCTGAAATAAATTATTTTATTTCAGGAGACAAGAACCCATGTGTTTCCAGTCCGGTTTGGTATCACAGCTAGAGGTATACATTGACATATTGTTGAACATATTGTTCATTAGATCAGGAGAAATGTAGATGAAAAAAGGAATGTTCATTAGCTTATACTAGGTGTCTGAAGCCATGAAACTAGGCTATGATTTTTCAGAGTTCACATACTTTGAAAAAAGACGGCTATAGACAGAATTATAAAATAGAAAGAAAAAGAAAAGATTCATAAAGTTTTTTAATACTCTGAACTAAAATTATAAGTAGAACTAAGAGAAAAGATCATTAAGAAAGAGCTTTAGAGTAAGTTTCAGAAATGAGATGCTGGTGAAAAACTTCTTGAAAGTGATGTGAATTAAATATGAGAAATATCATGTACTTTTCCTAGTTAAAAAAAGTAGTCAAATAAATATAACAAAAAAATTTTCAACAGCACTAGAACAAAGGAAATTGTCCATACTTCCTGCCCTTTTAGGAATTTCTATGACTGATGGGTGAGATAGTAAGAAATTGCCAGCCCTGACTGGTGTGGCTCAGTGGATTGAGTGCCAGCCTGTGAACCAAAGAGTCGCTGGGTTTTTTTTTTTATACTTATTGATTATGCTCTTACAGTTGTCCCATTTTTTTCCTCTCCTTTATTCCCCTCCAACCTATACCACCCCCTCGCACATTCCCCCCTCACCCCCTTAGTTCATGTCCATGGGTGTACATTTAAGTTCTTTGGCTTCCTCATTCTCTATACTATTCGTAACCTCCCCCTGCCTATTTTGTACCTACTATTTATGTTGCTTATTCCCTGTACCTTTCCCCCCATTCTTCCTCCTCCCCCTCCACTCTGTTTTATTGTTCATAGCTTTTGACCTCTTCTTTTTATTAGATAAGTCCCTTTAACATTTCATATAATAAGGGCTTGGTGATGATGAACTCCTTTAACTTGACCTTATCTGGGAAGCACTTTATCTGCCCTTCCATTCTAAATGATAGCTTTGCTGAATAGAGCAACCTTGGATGTGGGACCTTGCTTTTCATGGCTTTGGAAATTTCTTGCCTGTTCTTGCCGGCAAAGTTTCTTTCGAGAAAACAGCTGATAGCCTCATGGGAACTTCTTTGTAGGTAACTCTCCTTTCCTCTTGCTGCTTTTAAGATTCTCTACTTAGCTTTAATCTTGGGTAACTTAATTATGATGTGCCTTGGTGTGTGCTTCCTTGGGCTCAACCTCTTGGGGACTCTGAGCTTCCTGGATCGCCTGGAAGTCTATTTCCTTGGCCAGATTGGGGAAGTTCTCCTTCATTGTTTTTTCAAATAAGTTTTCAATTCATTGCTCTTCCTATTCTCCTTCTGGTACCCTTATGATTCACATGTTGGAATATTTAAAGTTGTCCCAAAGGTTCCTAAGCCTCTCCTCACTTTTCTGAATTCTTGTTTCTTCATTCTGTTCTGGTTGAATGTTTATCTGTTCCTTCTGCTCCCAATCGTTGATTTGAGTCCTGGTTTCCTTCCCTTTACTGTTGGTTCCTGTTGTATATTTTTCTTTATTTCACTTTGCATAGTCTTTGCTTTTTTCCTCCATTTTGCAACCATATTCAACCAATTCAGTAAGCATCCAGATTACCAGTGTTTTGAACTGTGAATCTGATAGATTGGCTATCTGTTCATCACTTAGTTCTATTTTTTAGAGCTTTGACCTGTTCTTTCTTTTGGGCCATATTTCTTTTTCTCAGCATACCTTGGAAATTGTTGGAAGGGGCAGAGCCTTAGGGATTTGCCAGGGCGGGGCAACCCAGTTCACTGAGTTGTGACACTGTGTGAGTGGAGGGGTGGTCCGAGAGGGAACAATGCCTCTTGCTTGGCTCTTGGACAGCTTTCAGTCACTTCTTCCACTACCCACAAGCAAATTACACCCTTCTGGTGCTGATTCCTGGGTGGATGGGTTTATGTACATTCTAGGATCCTTTGGGTCTCCCCAACAGACTCTCCTGTGAGTCTGGAAGTTTCTCCTGCATCCACAACCCCCACAGGTTTTTACCTCCAGAGGTTTTGAGGCTTTCTTTTCCCACGCTGGAACCCTGGATTGTATGGTCTGTCTCACTCCCCAGCTGTTCCTCTGGTTTATCTGCATGCCAACGTGTGACCGCCTGGTCCTCCAGCTACCACCTTGCTGTGCATCCTCTCCATCACAGCTGTCCATCTCCATCCCTCCTACCGGTCTGGGTGAATGTTTCTTCTTTAGCTCACTGGTTGTCGGGTTTCCATGCAGTTCTATCTTCTGGCAGTTCTGGTTATTTTTTGTTTTTAAATTTGTTGTTGTCTTTCTTTTGGTTGTGCGAGGAGGCACAGACTATCTACCTACACTCCATCTTGGCCAGAGGTTGGGTAACTGGTTTGATTCCTAGTCATGGTACATAGCTGGGTTGTGGGCCAGGCCCCCAGTAGGGGTGTGTGAGAGGCAACCACACATTGATGTTTCTCTCCCTCTTTCTCCCTCCCTCCTCTGCTATCTAAAAATAAATAAATAATATGTTAAACAAAAAAAGAAAAAGAAATCACCATGAGCCCTGGCTAGGTGGCTCAGTTGGTCGGAGCATTGCCCCATGAACCAAAGGTTTGCAGGTTCAGTTTGTAGTCAGGGTACATGCCTGGGTTGAGGGTTTGATCACCAGCTGGGGCATGTACAAGAAGGAAACAGTCAATATTTCTCTCTGTCTCTCTCTTTCTCCCTTCCTATCTCTCTAAAAATCAACAAACATATTCTTGAGTGAGGTTTAAAGAAATAAATAATAAAAAAAGAAATAAGGAGCTAATTCACAATCACTGTTTCTATTAATTTATTTCTATGTCCTAAAAGGATCTTATGAACATAAACATTCACTAACACCAAGGTTTCAGGGTAGGCTGTGGGACTAATATGAAATCATCTTTTGGAACCCTTTTCCATTGAAGATCAAGAGCTTTGAAATAAACAGGTTTAAGAAACAAAGGCAATTATGGCTGAATAAGACATCCTTTCTTTGTTTCCTCCTCTCTCACAACAACAATTTGGCAACCATTCATGGGCAAAAGTGCCTTTGTGGGAGCTGTGGGATCCAGCACCATATACCAAGGGGCTCAGAAAGAGTTTTGCCCAACCATGTATTGGATAATAGGTATACAGACCTTAGCCCCAGCTATGGACCCTGCAGGAAGTCATGAACCAACTCTAGTCCCTCTTGGCTATGGTCCAGAAGCCCCTGGTAAAAAACTGTTTCAGACAATCACCCATGGATGACAGGTCTACAGAAGAAAAGTTTAAGCACACCACTGGAGTAAAAATGTGTTTTGACTTATCAGAAATGGTAAGAGAAACAGTTTGACTTGACTTGCATCACCTCTTCATCACTGTGGCATCAATTAGGGACATGAGAGATCCTCTGGGCCCATGATCTCATCCACAGGGAAAAGTAAGAGTGTGCAATTGAACATCTGGCTTCCTAGCATGCAAGATAGTGCCAAAAAGACTCATTTCTCTCTTGTCCCATCCAGGGGACTGAATTCTGAGCTAAATAAGAGGGGAAGAAAAAGCCTGGGATAATGGAACATAAGACTCTTGTTGAGCAAGAAAGGAACACATATCCTACTAACTGCATTGCAGACTCCATCAAGAAGCCTGTCCATGGGCTTCTGAGTATGCTTTGCCTGTAGATTCCCCCAAATGCTCATGCATACCTCAGAGATCTACAGGACTCACCCACATACCCCCAGAACCTGTAACTGGCTCCCTGTTCATGTTCCTGATGGTGGTGGAGAGAGCTGTGGAACATAACTAGTGAGCATGTGCAGACAGCCAGCCTGAATCTGCAGGCCAAGGAGAGATTACAGACAAAAGTTTTATAACTGCCTTTGGGAAAACAAAAGAGAGGTTCTCAGCAAGCATTCTGTGTAGTGTGTTGCAGGGTCAAGAGAAGGCATACAAGCTTAAGAATTCTGCCACAAGAGGGAGCAAGAAGAGTGGAGTGGGTATATCCATAGATGCTCTGAGAAAACCTCAGAATCCCTAGTAGAGCTAATGAAAATTGTTTCTTTCCTGAAAGTAACTAGTAAAGACTGGAGAATGAGACTGTTACTCCAATGCAAAACTTCAAGAAACCTATAAAAGAGTCAGAAAACAATGAATAA